ACACATATCTTGAAGGAACCAGAAGGAAATTTCTCTGTGCTGTGCCCCAGGGGTATACCAGCTCACCTGCAGAGCTACAAGTACACTGCTGCCCCACCCATGACCAAGTCAGACACTTGGTAAGAGGGCAACCCCTTCACTTAGTCACTGGATCTCTTCTCTTCTCCCTCCCCCCAGATGTTCCCTCTTACAATGTGTCCTTCTCTCTCTTGCATCATTATTTGTGCAACCCTTGAGCCTTTTTTCTTTCCCCAGGATTGCCTCTTAGCAGCGGAAAAGTTTTATTTCTTCTAAGGACAAACCAACCTCACCCAAGGCCTTAACTACACCAAAGTAGCCGTTTAAAGCATTAGATATTAAGGTACAAGATGTACAATGGGGGGAAATGCTTCACCATCGAAAGCTTACACCAAACTTTGCTTGATTGACAAGTGCTTATGGGTGGCTGAGGGTCCGAGCAGATGGGCAGAACTGAAGGGGAACAGCTGTGCTCTACAAGTACTGAAGCTTTTAGATCGCATTGGCAGGGATATATTTTTATGTTGAGGAGAAGAGGGGAAAAAAGCTAAGTCTCTCCTACCGAGCATCAGGCTGCCTGGCAGAGGATCACCACAGCAAAGTGGGCTTCCCCTTGCTCAGACTCGGTGAATTCTCTGCAGACCCCAGTAGGTGCCCTGCAGCACCGAGTCCTCTGAATCAGTGCCCCGATTCACTGAAAAAGGCAGTCAGCCATCAAGTTCATAGAGGTGGCCACCTCTGATGTTAAACCCAATAAAACAAAAGTTCACTTTGTCATCTACCTGACCCTGGACTTCCCGTCCCATGGTACAAGGGGCTGCCCGAAGGGCCTCATTCCTTTCAAAGCGTTTTGCTCTGTCTTCAGGGGACAATGTCTCCATTTCAGAAAGATACCATTTGGGACCGACCCATCATCTTGGTTCCTGGCCTTGCATGTGTAAGTCTGACGGTACCACAAGAGTTCCCAACAGTCTGATTCATGAAACACACCTCAGGGCTGACCTCCTGTCCTTTCAGTTCCCCAGTCTGTTTTCTCTGAAGTTCTCATGCTAGGCAGTGAGGAGAGAAAGTGCTCATAGACAATGGCACTGAGCCCGGAGCCTCCTCCTCCAGCCCTGGCACGTCCTCAAAGCGCCACTGGCTGGCCAGCACTTTGTTAAGCATCTTGGGGTCAGTCTCCATAGGCTTGAGCTGCAACTTTGGGAACCGCTGCCAGAGCCACAATCTAGACAAGAGGAAACACAGCAAACAGCTCTTAAGCATTTGCTGCTTTAGGATTCCTGCACTAAATACCACCAGTTCCTACGGTGCTGCTAAGGGTGCTTCCAGAAATTTGGGGGTCTTAGACCCACCACTCTGCCTGCGGACCCCTCTCCTGCCTGCTATGTCACTGAATCCTTGAAGATCCCTTTCCTCCGGTATCCATCTAAGGGACTTTCCTGCTCTAGCATCTTAAAAGAAAACCCCATTCAAGAGGTAGGGTCTGAATCATCATGAAAGCAGGTCCTCCAGCCTTTGAAGCCTTCCAATGATGTCAGACTCCGCGGACACAGGTCTGCCACCCTACGAACCAAAACAGCATGGCAAGCTGCTTTCAACTTTCTAACCCAGAAAGACCTCAAAAGATAATAAATGATTATTCCCTTAAAGGACTCAGTGTCAGGGTGATTTGTCCCACGGCATTAGCTAACTGATACACCCTCCCAAGTCCGCTCTCCTCTAGGTCTCCCCAGTCTTTGTAAAAGGGAATAGCATTTACATAGTTGTAGTAATGTAAACATTCAATTGTCTTTCTGGCATGCGTCTCTGTATATTTTTCTTTTTGTAAATTTTTTAAGGTAAAACTTACCTAAAATAAAATGCAACATCTTAAATATGCAGCTCAGTAGCTATACCCATGTAATCGCCACTCAGACTGAGGAATGGGAGGTCCCCAGCACCCCTGAAGGCTTCCTTGTGCCCCCTCCCAGTCAATATCCCCCCCAAAGGGTCACCACTATTCTGACCACTACAACTATAGATTCGTTTTGCTTATTCTTGAATTTAGTAGGAATGGAATCATGCAGCATTTTAGTCTATTTCGGCTGCTGTAACAAAATACCAAAAACTGGTTGGTTTATAAATAATAGAAATTTACCTCTCACAATTCTGGAGACAGGAAAGTCCAAGATCAAGGTACTGGCTAATCAGGCATCTGGTGAGAGCCTGCTTTTTGGGTGATAAGCAGCCATCCTCTCTCACTGTGTCCCCATTTTCCACAGTAAGAAGGCAGAGGATAAGTTTTAAAACTCATAAATCAGGAAGTAGCAATACAAATGTGTTACTTAGACATCAAGATAAGGCTGAAATGATCAGCTAAAAGAAATAAAAGTGGGCGTCTCTTGGGAGAGCAAAATGGGTGGAGAGTGGTACAGAGTTTATTATAATAAGTCTGGTAGAATTATTTGAGTTTTTAAAGAGTCTCAAAGTGTGTTTGTCTGTGTGTGTTTGTATGTATGTATGCAAAAGATAAATGAAATTCCTGGAGGAAATACAAATGACAAAAGAAAATAAAAATATACGTTGGAAGCATATATTATTATGAGCTCTCAGGGGAGTAATTAGGCAATATGAACAAAGATCTACAACTTATGTCCGGTCATTGCTGGAACAATTACAGTTGTAGAAATTGAAACACAGATATTATGGACCAAGTACACAGGGAAGTATATATAAGGATGACTACCACAGGCTCTTTAATAATATTGAAAAACGGGAGCAGCTTACACAGGGCATGGATTATATAAATAGTGTTACACTTATGCTCTGGAGTACTATGCAGCTGTTTAAAAGAATGAGGTATGCTAAGTATAAGAGATGAAGGATACTGGTGTCTACAGCTTGGAAATAAAGAGTATGAGGGATCAAGGGATAGACAGAATAGACAACGCAGGGCTTTTAAACCTTAGCACTACCGACACTTGGGACGGATTGTTTGAGTCTTTGTTGCGGGGGGCTGTCCTGTGCATTGTACGATGCGATGCTTAGCGACTTCCTTAGCCCTACTCACTAGATGCCAGTAGCACCTTCCCCCGGCAGTGACAACCACAAATGTATCCATACAATGTCACAAGTGTCCTGAAGGGAGAAGAGTTCCCCAGTCAAGAACCACTGGGATCAAGAGATGGAGAGATGAATAAAAATGTGATATAGCAAATATAGCAAAATGGTAGAATCTAGGTGGCGAGTATAAGAGTTCACTGTAAACATTCTTTTAATTTTGCTGTATGTTTGATATTTTTCATAAATAAATGTTTGAGAAAAAAAGAATGAAGTAAATCTATATACTCTGACTTTTAAAGACATGCAGACATAATACTGAATGATAAAAATTGGGTGCAGAACTCCTGTAATTCATTTTATGTGACATTCACACAAGAACAGACAAAACCAACCTGTGGTCATAGAAGTCAGGGTATCAGTTACCTTTGAAGGACACCAACTGGGAGACAGGGAGAGAGAACCTTCCGGGGAGCTGGAAATGGTCTATATCTTGATCTGGGTGGTGGATACTTGGGCACATATATATGTAGAAATCCATCAAACTGAAGATATAAATGCTCAAGTGTTTAGGGGTGAAGAATAGGATGGCTGCAACTTAACTGAAATTATATGTATGTGTCTATAAATACATGTACATATAATAAAAACAGTTGGGTTGCTGGATGAATAGAGAGACAGATGGCTGGATAGATGTGTAATGAGAAAACTCAGCAAAACATGTTAACTGTAGAATCTAGGTGCTGGGCAATAGGGGCTCACTATGCAATTCTTTCAACATTGCTGTATGCGTGAAAAATCTCCATAATACTGTGTCAGGGAAAATAAATAAAGCCACAGTGCTGGGCACTTACGATGTGTGCATTTTCCTATGGGTAAGATTCCTGTCATTTTTTTTTAATCCAAGATATATGTTTAAGTGGGAAAAAAAGTTGATCAAAAAGTACAGTCTGCTTTTATTGACTTTTTAAAGACATTCATGCTGATACTGGCGTGTAAATCTACGCTCAAAAACCAAAAAGGCTGAAGAAAAGGGTCTCAGAAATGCCTGTGGCCCCCATGATCAGTGGGTTTCTTAAAAAAATGCAGAGTCTTGGGTCCCGTCTCAGGCTTTCGGAATCAGACTCTCTGAGGGAGGTCCCAGGAATCTGCATTTTAGCTAGGTTTTCTGACGTTCATTAAATTTGAGAGGCTTCATCAGGGAAAAAAGGAAAAAGGCTGAAAGATACTGCAAGTCAGTTTTATACTTTTCTGCTGGCGGCTGGGCTATGGGTGATTTTGATTGGTGTTTGTGTGCGTTTCATTATTTCCCACAAACAGCAATAAGAACTGGGGGTCCTGACACCCTGGCAGTCCCATTTAATATGGGATGGAGGACGTCTAGTCTGACCCTTTCTTTCTTCCCTCAGACCCTTCGCAAACACCCCGCCCATCCCTTTGCTTGTCCAAGAAAACCCTTGTGGTTAATGAGTCTCAGAAAAGTGAAGTGAAACTTATAAGAAAAACAGTAGCAGCTAAAGGATGGGGTAGGGGGTGCGCAGGATACCTCCCCACCATCACCACCAAATTCTGGAGGCGTGCTTGTGACACAGGGTAATACTTCTGGTGACCCTGCAAAGATACTGCTCACATCCCTCCCAAATTGCCACCTGCTTCCCCTGAGTCACCCACCAACAGAGTTCATGTCCTGGTCATTTCCAAACCCGGAGGTGGGTGGTGAACAGGGTGGAGCCCGGGGGAGAAAAAAACCAGAGCTGCAGGACGCTTGGGTGCACAGCCGGGTCCCCAGAGATGTCTCTGAAACCGCTGCTCTCGCTGCTGCCACTGCTGCTGACTGTGGAGCTGGCCAGCACCAAGCTGATCCGGTACCGGGGACCCCGCCGCCCCACGTCTGGGAGATTCCCTCACTCTTGCCCTTCAGGTTTGGGGCTCCCTGGGACCCAGGCCTCCTATCTCTTGGGTTCCCGGATCTCCAAGGCGGGCTGTCACCCCTGAGGGTTCTACGCTGATCTGCCCCAAGACCCAGCCATGATCCTTGGCCGTCACCTCCCCTCTCCACTGACCTGTTTCTGGGAGGACCTTGTGTTCCCCACCCTCAGCTCTAATGATCTGGAACAGGGGTCTCCAAAGATGAATCCCTCCCCGACTGAAAAGAAGATCTTGGAGACTCGGACCTGTGACATTTAAATGGAGACTCCCCCAGATTAGCATCTCCCAAACTGTTCAGCTCTCAAGTCCAGTTTTGAGGACCCCAGTCACCTTCAGCTGGCCTCTGGTGCTCCCCTCATTCTCTCCCTTCTCTCTCCTCCCCACCTCCTGGAACTCTTGATGGGGGGAAGGAGGTGCTCTCCCAGGAAACATTTCCCCCACTTCACATTCTTGAGCCTCTCAAAGACCGGGCCTGGGTGTGTGTGGTGGTGGGGTGGGGTAGGCAGGGGCTCCAAGGAGGGACTTCAGGCAGGTACAAAATATTACTGCACAGGATGTTTGCTAACCTGCTTGTTGGACCTAAGAGATCATGGCTATTTCCCAAATCAATGCAAAGAGCCCAGGGATTCTGAGTGTTGTTTTGGAACCAACGGCAACAGTATGATCCGGGAACGTGTTCGTAATGCAAATTCTTAGGCTCCAGCCTAGACCTGTTCAATCAGAAAGTGAGAGTTCTGAATGTTAATTAGCCCTCTAGGTCGGGGTGCTCCACTTGGGGGAGACAGAAGCAAACCGCCTCCCAAGGGCTGAAGGGGCTGCGAGACCAAAGAGTCCAGCTTGAATTCCACAGAGGTTTATTGAGGGGCCCTTACCTGGGGAAGCTTGCCCTAGGGGGCCACAGGACGTGTAGATGCCTGCATTGCACTGTGTGGGGAGGCTAATTTATAGAGGAAAGGGGAAAAGTGTCTGCCTGCAGGGGGAGCAAGGAGCAAGGGTCTGTGCGCAAGTGGCCACAGCAGGGTATTCTCGAGTATCATTGCTAGAATTTAGAGCAAGGATCTTGCCACCACGGAGCCATGTTAATTATTCCCAGCTGGCTATTGAAAGAATATTTAGATATTCTTTATTTAAATATTTATAATATTTAAATACTTAGATATCAGTCAAAGGAAAGGGGAGCGTAAAGGTGATCCTTCAATCATCATGGCGGATTTGGCAAGATGGCATCAGTCTTGCTCCCGGACACAGGGGTTATCAAACACCCAGCTCAAGGGCCAAATCCTGCCTGCCACCAGTTCTTACAAAATGAAGTTTAATGGTACCCAGCCACGTTCGTACATTCATTCACATATTGTCTATGGCTGCTTTTGTCCTGTACTGACAGAGCCGAGTAGGTGCAGCACAGACGGCTCGCAAAGCCTGTACAAAGCAGTTTGCCCATCACGCCTGCTCTAGGTGATCCGCTTCATGCTAAAGTTTGAGCGTCACTGGCATAGAGAACTCCTTTCTCCTTGTTAGTGGTTGATCCATTCCATACATGTTCCAAAGCAGAGCTAAGTTTTACCCAATTGGTCTTGTCTTCAAACTTAGATACAGCCTCATAAACACATCTTTGTGTACTTATGCAATGTTCTCCAGTAGATGAAATTCCTGGAACTGAAGTTACGCCAAGTTAAAAGGTTTGTACAATCTAAGGCCTATGATACATGTTGCCAAACCGTCCTTCAGCAGCTCTGTACGGATCCGCACCAACAGTCGTGCATGTGCTTAGATTTTTGCCAATCTGTAGGGTGAAAAAAGGTTTCCCACTCTTGTCTTGTATTTCTTTAATGACTACTGTAGTTGAACATTTTCCCACACATTTAGAAGCTTTTGTACTGTTTTTTTATTTTTAATTACCTTTGTGTTCTTTGCCCATTTTCCGACTGAATGTCAAGTACTGTGAATGTAGCCTGCCTTCATGACTGCTTGAGGACACAAGACTACTAGGTCACAGACAAGGACAAATCTGTTACTCCCAGCAACAGTAGAAACCAGAATATTAGCATTTGTGTCTGTTTTCTGAGCCCCACAGGGTGATTTTAAGAGGGCCAGGCGATACCTGCACATGCAATGAGGTATATGCAGGAGAAGAACCCTAAGATTAGGAAAACTGAATCTTTTATAATGGATCATAAACCTGTCTGCTCTTTGCCCCAGAGGGAGACACTGCCTCTATTCCAGACTGTTCTCAAAACAAAATCCTTGATGAGACAGTCCGGACACAGGAAGTCAGTGCCTCTGCAGAGATGTGAGATACCCGTGAAGATCGTCTCCCAACACTGGGTCATTTATCTTATTATTTGTAGAAGCTCTTTGTATATTAGAACCATTAACTCCTTGACATACAACTTGTGACTTTTCCCCCCCCGATTTTTCTTTGCTTTTTAACTTCATTTACAGCTTTGTATATTGGGAAGAGGAATACAGAGATCTAAAATTTTAGAGTCTCACTCATCAATCACCACCTCCCCCAATCATTATGGCTAATCTTGGTATCATGCTTAGATGATTTATTATTCCCAGAGTTATTTAAACATTTTACTCCCTTCTACTGCTCTTATATTGTATTTCACATTAAGTCTGGATTATCTGAAATTGGGATTTGGTGCTTACTTATGCCCTCCTCCCCAGTGGAGGGGAAGTAAGTCTCCTAACATCATGAAGTGAAGCATGTGAAGGTTTTTGCATCAGTGTTATGTTAGGGTCTTTGGAAACCTTTGTGAAAGTCAGTTCCCCGGGGATGGGTTCAGTTATTCGGCACATCTCCAACAGGTTTTGGGGAAGGTCTGTTTGGGACGGTTCACTCTTGTAGTCTCTGGGGAAATTTGCCACTCTGGTTTGACATATGTTTGGCTTGGTTTCCTGGAAGACTGTTATTGTAGGATGTCTGGTAATGATTATTATTGTAGGGACACAGAGACTTTGAGTTTGTCATTATATGCTATTTGGAAAATAGCATATAACAGAAGGGTAGCTTCCTAGTGGTATCTTCCCCTGCTACAGGGTCCCTCTCCACCGAGTTCACACTACGCACAGGACCCTGAGCCCACCAAAGGGATGCCGAAAGCCAGAGCCCCTCCATTTGGAGGCCTCATTCCCTAGGGACAAGCCCATCTTCGTGCCCCTCTCCAACTACATGAATGTGAGTCGTAGCCCCCCGCAGTCCCTGCCCTCCGGGGCTCCGGTCAAGCTCCTCACTGACTCTCTCCTGTTTTGCCATCAGGCCCAGTATTATGGGGAAATTGGGCTGGGGACGCCACCACAAAACTTCACTGTCGTCTTCGACACGGGCTCCTCCAACCTCTGGGTGCCATCCACAAGATGCCACCTCTTCAGTGTGCCCTGCTGTGAGTTTTCATGGAAAGACTAAGGCTGCAGGGGGTGATGGGAGAAGAGGGTTGGGCCTCGGCTTCCCAAGGGTTTTTGAGGTGCTGGTCTCTTCTGACGCACCTCACAAATGACAAGGTCACAGGGGCAGGAGGCATTGAGAGACTCCCCTCCCCCAGCGACACCTCCCCGACCTTCTGACCTAGGGTTCCACCACCGCTTCAACTCCAAAGCCTCCAGCTCCTTCCAGGCCAATGGGACCAAGTTTGCTATTCAGTATGGAACTGGGCGGCTAAATGGCATCCTGAGTGAAGACAAGCTGACCGTATGTGAACTTTGACCCCAGGAAGGCTTGAGCCTGGGAGACCCCCAATGTCTAAGATGTTCTAGCTTAGGGAGGGGCTTGAGGAGGGGCTTTCTGGGCAAAGGGAAGGGGTGTCTGAGGTGGGGCTTCCTGGGTAAGGGGCGGGGCTTTCTGTTAAAGGGGTGAGACTTCTCAAGTGTCCAGGGAAGGGCTTCTTAGGTGGGACGCAAAACTGCCTAGGCAGATGGAGTTGTTTCCAGATGTGCTGGTCTGGGAGATCTCAGGTATGTAGGTAATAACCTCCCAGAAGTAGTAACTTGCCGAATTGGAATCTTCCCCTAGATTGGGGGAATCGATGGTACATCAGTCATTTTTGGGGAGGCTCTGTGGGAGCCCAGCCTGGTCTTCACTTTTGCCCACTTCGACGGGATACTGGGACTCGGTTTTCCTGCTTTGGCCGTAAAAGCAGTTCGGCCCCCGCTAGATGTACTGGTGGACCAGGGGCTACTGGATAAGCCTGTCTTTTCCTTTTACCTGAACAGGTAATGGGGGAGGGTCTACCTTCTTATGAGTCTTAGCCCCACCAAAAGAAAATTCTGTCTGCTTTCAGAAAGTCCCTCATCTAATAAAGGAAGTCCCACCTTCCACTCAGGAAGTCATCCAACCAACACAGCAAGTTCCAGTCCTCTGTTCAGGGAGTCACCTACTGAATATAAGTAACACTTGGACCCTATTCAGAAGTCCAACCCACTAGGCAACCCTTATAATGAAGAAACTCACCATCATTTAAAATGCTCTGCGTATCAAACTTAAACGAGGAAACTTCATGCCCTACCCGATCAAATACTCAAAGAAATCTTGTCTTCACCATAAAGCCCAAATTCCCAGAAATTGCCCATTTGAATCAAAGAAGTTCCACCTACCTTTTAGGAAGCTCAACCTTGTGTTCAGAAAGTCCTGGCCCCCATCCCTCCTGGAGGACCAGCCCCCACAGGCATAAAGCCCTCAGCCCAGTCAGGTACCCTGGTGTCCAACCCACTCAGGAAGTCCCCTGCACCTCTAGTGCATCCTGCCCTCCCACACCTCGGGGAAGTCCCCGGCCTGGCCCCTCTTCCCACCGCTCTCAGCCAACTCCGGAAGCCTAAAGCCTTGGAGCTGTGAAACACGCGGTTCAGAAAGTCTCACCATCCACCTGGGAAGCCACCCTATTCCTAGGAAGTCACACCTTCCAGAGCCAATTCAGAAACCCCAGTGGTCCACTTAAATCTCCCAAAGTTCTACCTTCCACAGCCAAATCAAGAAGTCTCGTCTCCACTACGGAAGCCTGCAACACCCTAGAATCCTAACCACCAGGAAAAGCCCCATTACTTTTCACTTCCTGCATTGCTTCCAGTCCCAATATCTACGCCCTGCTTGCATCCCATCACCCCGCCTAGAACCTGGACACCACCCCACTGGTAGGAAGTCCCTTCCTCGGCCACTCCTAGGAGTGGCAGGGGAAAGGCTAGTGACACTGCCCGCACTCTGCCTCTGCAGGGACCAGGAAACAGCTGAAGGAGGAGAACTGGTCCTGGGTGGCTCAGACCCAGCACACTACATCCCACCCCTCACCTACATGCCAGTCACAACCCCTGCCTACTGGCAGATCCACATGGAGAGGTGCGGGGCCCGCCTCCTAGGTGTAGAAGGAGTGGGCTGCGAACCCAGAATCCTAGGTCTGATGGGAGAGGTTGCCAGGGGCCTGGACTCCCATGTCTGAGGGAGGAGAGGGGCCTGGTTTCCTAAGACACTGGCTGTAATAACTACCCCTTTTTCCCCCCTCATAGTGTGAAGGTGGGCACAGAGCTGACTCTTTGTGCCCAGGGTTGTGCTGCCATCCTGGACACAGGCACATCCCTCATCACAGGACCCACTGGGGAGATCCAGGCCCTGCATGCAGCCATCGGGGCAATCCCCCTGGTGATGGGGCAGGTGAGGACCTGGTGTCTGCTGGGTGTAGGCTGGGGAGGCTGCCAGGGTTTTGATGGCAGACACTGGGCAGGATGCTGAGTCCCTAAGGTGGGAATCAGGTGGTGGGAGGAAACGAGGCCACCTCCCAGGTACGTGCTGCGAGATATTCTGGATTGGGGGATGTCAATGCACGTTTATATAGGAGTGGATGGGAGTGAGAAGCCTACAGAGCCTGGAGACATGTGGAGGAAGCCAGAAATCATACTGAGGAGTCACTAGCCTTTAGACAGTAATCAGAGCCATGGATGAGGAGAGAGGAGAGGTCCCAGGAGCAGCCTTGGGGAACACGCACATGGTGGAAAGAAAAAAACAGAGCAGGAGCAGCCGGGGACACAGCAGGAGTACCCGGGGCGTTGGGCTCACAGAAGCTGCACAGAGTATTTCAAACGTGGAGGCTCTAGCCACCCACTTTCACCTCAGGAGGCTCTGCAGTTTCTGGGCAGGGGCAGGGTCTTCCCAGGCTGGAATTTCTGTGATTTTATCACTCTGCTCTTTGGTGCTTCTGAGAGGGCGAAGAAAACTCAGTTCGCAAGGCTCTGAGTCAAATGCCTAAGACACAGGCTGGTCGCAATCAAGGGAACCAAGTAGATCAGAGCAGTTATGGGCATGCGTTGCACGGGCTGGAACTCAGCTCTGCCATTTACTAGCTATGTTGTCCTGGGCAAGTCATTTAACATTCCTTTGCCTCAGCTTCCTAATCTCTAAAATAGGGTTACTAATACCTACCAATCAGGTACGTTGTGGGGACTGGATCAATTAATCCATTTAGGTACTTAGGACAATGCTTTGACGCCTATTCGTGCTGTTATTCTCTCCCCTTTCAAGATTTATACACTCGCTAATTCAACCTGTTTTCTCATCAATCCTTACCTTCCCAACAAGGAAATTGCCATTGGCTTTTAAGGAAGATAAACTTCTTGGTAGTTATTAATGATGGCCTAATATTGTATTGTTAGGTACTTGGGAGTGGTGGGATTTGATGCAAACAAGAGCACAAGCTCATCAATCTAAAAAGGCTTATTAGTTCCTCAGCTGCAGGCAAGTATCGCCATGTTAGGGAAAGCCAGATCTTCCAGATTGTTGGAGAAACCTGAAAACAGTACTTGAAAGCTCCTGGTTTGTAAATAACAATAACATTTACTATGTGCCAGGCATTTTTCCCAAGCTAACTCACTTATTTCTCACACAACAGCTCTATGAGGTATGTATTATTATCACCTAAATCTTCAGGTTGGAAACTGAGGCACAGAAAGGTTAGTTTACCTAGAAAGGTTAGTTTACCTAAGGTTGTACAGCAGCAGACTCCAGGGATGCGACCTATACCACCATGGTGTACGGTTGGTAAACAATTTTTTAAACATTTTAGATACAGTGTAGGACAATTTACATCCACCTGTGAACCCAATGTGGCCCCTAGGTCACCAGTTTTTGATCTGCAAAGTACACAAGAAGAGGGTTTGATTAAATAAATGGGAGCCTAGGGGAAGTGGCATCAATTACAGTAGTGCGGCAAGCGCCGGTTAAGGCTAGAGAAGGCAGCAGAGCCTGACTACACAAGGCCCTTAATACCTCGTCAGTATCCGTATAGTACTGAGGGGCCACGGAAGGAATTTGGGCAGATAAAGCAGCAATCCCTCATCTCCACTTGTTCCTCGTCTCCCTCAGTACCTCCTGAAGTGCTCGGAAATCCCAACGCTGCCCACAGTCTCCTTCCTCCTTGGAGGCGTCTGGTTTAACCTCACAGCTCAGGAATACATCCTCCAGGTAGGTGCGGTCACAATGACGTCAGAGTAAGATGGAGTTTGAGAAGGTGGAGCTGGGAGTGGGACATCACTAGGACCCAGCAGGGGCCACACAAACATTTTCAGTGCCCGGGGAGGGTGGGGCGAAGCTTTGGCTCCCAGGGAATAAGCGGGCTCGGTGGGCTTGACACCCAATGGCCTGTCCTGTCGCCTTGCAGATTGTTCGCGGTGGTGTCCGCCTCTGCTTGTCCGGCTTCCAGGCCCTAGACATGCCTCCGCCTGCAGGACCCTTCTGGATTCTCGGCGATGTCTTCCTGGGGACCTACGTGGCCGTCTTCGACCGCGGGAACAGGAAAGGCAGTGCCCAAGTGGGACTGGCTCGCTCTCGTTCCCGGGCAGCTGGAGGACAAGGGGATGAATCTGCGCAGGCGCAATTTCCAAGTCGGCGCCTTCCTTAGGCGCATGCGCATGGGGTGACAGCGGAGGCTCAAGCTACTCAGTAAAAACCCACTATTTTCACTGAACCTAGCTGTGTCACCTTTTTTTAAGCGCGTGGTTTTTGGAGGATAAAATTAGTGTTCGTTCTCTGGAGTTGAAGAAAGGAAGGAGAAAGGTATAACTCCTTTTCTCCAGGATTCATACTGGTGCGAAAGCCTGACACTACGTATCCCATGAAGCCCCTTGCCTACACTGCCTCTTGTCAAAGGCGCCCGGCGCCGCACAGCACCATGGACGTTGTAGTCCAGCCTGTTTTAGTCTTGGGGGCGGGCGCAGCCACAACAAGCGTGGGAGGCGACAGGTCGCGACGGCAGCGACAGGTGGCAGGAAGGAGCACTGAATTAGTGAAGGGTTTTCCAACCCTTATTCTATGGGGAGGGGATACCTTTCCCGCAGACTTCATCTCCTGTTCCTTTCTCCCTTTGGGATTCCGGGACCCCTGGGTCCGCCATAAAGGCGTGGCTTGAAGCCCCCGGGTTGGGGGGAGCTGTGCTGCCCCTCCTCCTGCGATGATGTCACTCTCCCCTCCGCAGCCTCTAGATGCCCAGAGCTGCTGGGGCTGGGTCACCCCTCCCCCCATCGCCAGTCCTGGATTCCCCCATCCCCGCCCCGCCTCGTCTTGGGGTGAGTACAGGGGAGAGAAGGCTCAGGGGGCGGTAAAACAGTCCAAATCCCATTTTGGAGGCGGGGGGCACGGGAGACGGGGACTCAAAGATTACAGCGGAGGAATTTCCCCTCAATAACGAGCTTTGGAAGCCAAGGTACTTGGAGGGTTTCAGGGGACCGAGAATTGTAAGCAGAGTCTCTGTATTTTCAGCTTTTGTGTCCGGGAGATCTTCTTCCCTGGATTTGGAATTGATAGGAATAGGGGCGGAGGAAGAAGAAAGGGGTCCTAGAAGTCAGGAAGGGGAGAGCCCTTCCGCAATTAAAGGGCCTTGGGTAAGGGGGAGGGAGAATTAGGAAGGGGCGCCGAGGATAATGGAGGTGGGAGTTTGGAGTTTTCAGGAATTTCATGTCTTGAAGACCTGGGAAAAGATAGATTAAGGAGGAAGGGTGGGGAAAGGGTCTGAAGACGTGTACAGCCAGTGGCCTCCCCCTCCTAGTGTGCGTTGCCAAAAATCGAGTACACTTCCCCTTGGCCTGTTTGCGTGACTGGGTGTCCCGTAATCCGAGCCCTCGTTTGCCTCCAGAAGCCTCCCCATGGGTGGAGAATCCAGGCTCACAAATCCCCCACATACCCTGGTGTGGCCAGGGAAGGGCCAGGAGGGAGTGACAGCATCCAAATTTTCCAAGACCTGATGGAATCTGTACCATCCTGTTACTCCTTGACTGCGGCCTCCTCCCCCCTCCCATGGTCTCTATTTCCGAGTCTCATCCCATATTCTCCCTTATTCCCGCTTCTACCCTCCTTTCCCCTCCACCCCTCCCCTCCCGCCTGCACCTTCTCCCACACCTTCTGATCTCTGCAAAAACGCAGATTTGCTAACTTGATCTCGTGCCTGGCTGCTGTTAAAAGCAGAAGACAAAAGTAGAGTTGGGGGTGGGGGTGGGGGGCGGTTAAGGGAGAATGGCTGATTTAGGTCCTTACTCCCAGCCCCTTAGTGCCCACCCAACCCCTGCCCCCCCCCGCCACCAACTTGCCCAGAAACCTCACTCATCCCACACCCAGTCCCTCACCTCAGGATTCACTGCTTCTGCCTGGGAACATGCCAGAATTCAGGCCAGAGAGGAGCAGGAAGCTCTGATGTCTTTTCTCTGCCCTCTTGAATCCCATCAGGGGCTTGAGGACTGCCGGAGGATACTGGATCGAGATACTGGATAGGGGGCAGTGGGGGAGCCCAGGGTCTGGGAGGTGAGGGAAACTGCCTCCCTGGGCTGCAGGACAGGCCCCACTTCTGCACTTCTCTCTGCAGTGACGCAGCCTCGAGTCCTGGCCAGAATGAAGTCAGAAGGGATGATGGGGGGAGCTGAGAAAGGGATAGAGATTTAGAGAGAGGGACAGAGGGACAGTGAACGAAGGACAGGGGGCCAGTCCCAAACAAGTGCGGAGACTCAGAAGAGGGTGAAAGAGACACGGGGGTGAGGGAGAGCCGGGTAGAGGGGACAGAAAAGAAAAATTGCAGAGACAGAGGGGAGAAAGAGATAAAAGAGGGGGGAAAGACACGGGGGGAAGGTTGTCAGAGAACATGAGAGAGGAGAGAGATGGACAGAGGTCCAGAGAGTGGCAGGAATAGATCCTGAAGGCGGGAGGCAGCTGGTGGAGGACAGAGGCACAAAGAGGAGGGACAGAGGCCTGAAGGGGACAGAGACACAGACAGGGGGACTGAGACCTAAGGGAGAAAGGCAAATCCCTGAGAAAAGGGTATAGAGACCAAGAGAAAGAAGCTGGGGTCTTGGGGGCTGGGGGGAACCAAGACACGGCCGGGGAGAGGAGACTGAGACTTAGAGAGAAGAGGGGCAAAGACTCAGAAGGCGAGGAACAGATTTAGAAAACAATGGGACAGAGACACAGCGGGAGGGATGAGATTTAGAGAAGAGCGCCCGAGTCCCAGACGGGTGAGGGCAGAGGCGGGGGCACAAATACTCAGAGCAAGGGGAGAAAAAGAGACACAGAAACGGGCGCGGGGGGTGGGTGGAAAGCCATACGAACCAGCCGCCGCACCTGCAGAGGGAGGCAACAGGCCAGGGACGGGGCACGCGTGATGACGCTCGCAGCGCCTGACCCGCCCCCTTCGCTCCCACAGGCAGTCTCCTCCCGCCGCAGCCCCAGCAGCAACCGCGCGCCTCGCCCCAGCCACTGCGCCTGCGCTCTGCCACTCGGCGGCTTGGCCAGACTGGGGGGCGGGGCCGGACACGCGCTGGAGGGGTCCGTCTACTTCTGGTCCCGCCCCCAATCCTCCCCCACCAGCACTCTCACACCTGGCCGCGCTCTATTTCCCATCGGCCCCGCCTATTACCTCCGCCCAGACCTTGCTTCCGGGAGCTTTGGTTTCTTCCCCTTCGCCTCCCTTAGGATCCCCTCCCCCTCACCAGTCCTTATTCATTCCTTTGTTCTCCTGTCTTCAGTCCACCGTTAGCTAGACCTTGTCCCCTTTCCCTCACCCGCGAAGACTCCCCGTTCCAGGTCCCACCCCTCCGTCCAGCCCGGTAGCTTTGTACTCTTTGCAGGCCTCACCTTTTCCTTAGCGCCCTCATCTCCTGGTCTCTGCCCTCTCTCAGTCTGCCCCTTCCCCACCTAGCCTGATTGATTTCAAGTCCATTAAAGTCCCGCTCATCCCTTAGTCTCGCCTTCCCGCAGCACATTCAAGACGTTTTCTACCATTCGTAGACCCTACCAACTTTCCCCAGTCCCGCCCCAACCACACTGACATTCTCGCGGCCGAACCCGGTCTGACCAGGCCGGTCTTGCAGCCCCCGTCTCGCTCCTTCTTTACCTCGCCCTCCTCCCTTAGGCCGAGCCAGGCGATCTCAGGTTTCCAGGCTTCGCTCGTCTCAGCCCCTTCTCACAGAGCCTCAGTCCCTGTTCCACTTGCCCTGTCCCCTTTCAGTGCCATTTCGCGCAAAAGTACATGCCACTCTCCATTTCCAGTTCCCGCCCTTCGTTCAGTCCCGCCCCCTCGTTCTCCCAGCCCAATCGGGACTGTTTCTGCTTCCTTCGGCCCTGCCTCTTAAAATCTGTCCTGCCCGATCTAAGCAACGTTAGGAGCCCAATCCGGCCGGCTCCCTCTGCCCCTGCCCACTGGGTCTTTCTTGCCGGCTCTTTAGGGCCGGGCGAGCGATCCTTCTCTGTCCAATTAGGATAGCCCCTCCCATTGTGGCTCCGCCCCTCCCTCCGCCAGTCACACACTCAGGCCTCTTTATATAGCGTGTACTTGTTCCTTTCCTCTGCTCCGCCCCGCTTCCTTTTACAGTGCAATGAGATCTAGTTCTCATATGTAGTCCCGCCCCCTCCCGTTCTCCCTGCATTACGAAGCCAAGCAGCTATAACGGAGGGTCCCGCCTCCTTCACCTCGCTCCGCCCCTCCCCGCCCCTTCTTTCGTAAAGATCCAATCGGTGTGCTTCCATCTGCAGTCCCGCCCCTCCAGCTAGGCAGTTTGAGTCCCGGCCCTCCTCCTGCTTCAGTCCCGTCCCACAGCTCCCCGGCCAATCAGTTCCATTCCTCCCTCCTGAGGTCGCGCCCCTTCCATCCGTCTCTCGCCCTACCCAATCACGTCTGTCTCTCCCCCTGAGGCCCCGCCCCCTACCGGCCCGCCCTCCTACACCGCCCCCCCGTCCAATGCTGAGCTCAGTCTGCGTCTCGTCCTTCCGCGGGCGCCAGGGGGCCAGCAAGCAGCAGCCGGCGCCACCGCCGCAGCCGCCAGAGTCCCCGCCGCCGCTGCCCCAGCCGCCACCACTGCCGCCGCTGCAGGAGCAGCAGCAGCCTGCGCAGCCCGGCCCCGCCGCGTCCCCGGCGGGCCCCCCGGCACCCCGCGGGCCCGGGGGCCGGCGCGCCGAGCCATGCCCCGTGCTGCCAGTGGCGGCCATGGGGCGGCACGGCGGCGGCGGTGGCGACAGCGGCAAGATCGTGATCAACGTGGGCGGCGTGCGCCATGAGACGTACCGCTCGACGCTGCGCACTCTGCCGGGGACGCGGCTGGCCGGCCTGACGGAGCCTGAGGCAGCGGCGCGCTTCGACTACGACCCGGGTGCCGACGAGTTCTTCTTCGACCGCCACCCGGGCGTCTTCGCTTACGTGCTCAACTACTACCGCACTGGCAAGTTGCACTGCCCGGCCGACGTGTGCGGGCCGCTTTTCGAAGAGGAGCTCGGCTTCTGGGGCATCGACGAGACCGACGTGGAGGCCTGCTGCTGGATGACCTACAGGCAGCACCGCGACGCCGAGGAGGCGCTGGACTCCTTCGAGGCGCCCGATCCAGCGGGCGCAGGCAACGCTGCCAGCGCCACGGGCGCCCACGACGCGGGCCTGGACGACGAGGCGGGCGCGGGCGGCGGCGGCCTGGACGGTGCGGGCGGAGAGCTCAAGCGACTCTGCTTCCAGGACGCGGGCGGCGGCGCCGGGGGGCCTCCAGGGGGCGCGGGCGGCGCGGGCGGCACATGGTGGCGCCGCTGGCAGCCTCGCGTGTGGGCGCTTTTCGAGGACCCCTACTCGTCGCGGGCCGCCAGGGTGAGCGTACTCCCGGAGCCCCCATCTCTCAACTCTGGAGGCACTCCCACACCCCCAGGAGCGTCCCAGCCCAACCCTTAGAATCCCAAGGCCCGTGCCAGCTCCTCTTGGCTTCTCAAATCCCTTAGAACCCTGAGTCCCACTTACTCCTTTGTAACACCCTCCCTCCCGCCACCCCCAGATCCTCAGAAGACGTTCCTCCAAACTTCAGAATTCCCCTCCAACCTCCGGTCCCGCCAAGTCTCACCCCGTTTCTCTAAGCTACCCTAGATCCTTAGAAACTTCTTCCCAGACCACGAATCTTCTGGGCTCCTCTGAACAACCTCACTTCCCCTTTCCTGGACTCCTCCGAGACTGTCAGAAGACCTTTCCTCATCCCTGAGTCTTCGGAGCCCCTGTGAACCCCTTCTCATCTCTCAGCCATCCCTCAGACCCTCAGAAGATCCCTCAGCAGTCCTTAGGACTATTCCCAAATCCTCAGAATACCTCCCCTCCTAACCCTCAAAGTGTCCAGGCCCTGTGAATACCGACTGCCCCCTCCTTTCCCCGCCCCCTGCGGGCTCCCCGAAACTCCCTCTCCATCCCTTAGGCTCTCCCAGTACTTCCCTCATTCTCCCGTTGCCCGTCTCCTGCTCCACTCCAACTTCGAGTCTCTGAGCTATTTTTGAAACCCCCCCCCGCAGCCTCCCCCCTTCTTCTGCCCTCAAAGTCTCAGAAGACTCTCCACAATCTCAGAACCTACTAGACTCTCTTAACCTCCAAACCATTCGCTCTGGCTAGGACACGTCCTCCTTTCCTTCACGACAACACTGAGTCTTGGGGGGCATCTTCCCTTCTGGGCCCCTCTGTGTTCACATCCCTTCCTGCATCCCTCACACCAGCTCCCGTCCCAAGGACTTTCCCCATAAAGCTCCAGACTTCTCCCAAGTCTTTCGTACTCCTCAGTGTCTCCCTAAGAGTCTGGTAGCCCCACGATATCTTTCCTCTGCAGAACCTCCCATATGCCTTCTTCCTCTTCCACAGATTCTTTCAGCTTCTTCCATCGTTTAAACGTCACAACCCACGCCCTGAGTTCTCCCCATCCAGACCTTCCAGCCCCTTCTGAGTCAGTCAAATGATGTGCCCTCCTCCAGACCTTGACCTGACCTCAAGCCTGGGACCCCTGTCAAGTTAGTCCCTAAACTCCCTTCCTAAAATAGCTCCCAATTCCTGGTGTCTTTTCACTCACTCGCACCCTAGCCCTGCTCACTTCACCTTTCCCAGGCTCCCTCAGTCCAAAACCCAGCACTGGGTCCCTCTGCTCCCCCCGCCCCACCAAAGTGAACCAAAGAGCCCACACTCCAGCCTTATCTCCCTGAAAATTCCAGATTTTCTCCCAAACTCTTAATCTTCCAAAAACTTGCCAAAAACATGTGTAACTTCCCAGACTAAATAGCTGCCCTCCCCTTGGTTCTCCCTGGAACCGCTTCCTCCTCCTAACTTCCTGTGTTGGAAGAGAGGAAGCCTGTTAAAATATGGGGGAATTAGAGGGGAAAGAAGATACACTCCAGGGCCCCCTCTTAGCCCACAGGGGACCCAAACTCCAGGTCAGGCCCCCTCCCCCCACCGGGCCGCGTCCTGGGCCCGGAAGGACGCGGAGCCGCAGTGCCGCATTTGCTCGGGGGGAGGGAGCAAAGTGGGGGGAGCCCGAAGGCACCGCATAAAGTTTGGTCCCGGGAAGCGCTGAGTTGGCGAGATTTGGGGTTGGGTGGGGGGAGGTGGGGAGGAGGAGATTCGGAAAGGACATGGCCCCAGATGCCCCTCAGGCTGCTGAGCAGCCGCCTTCCCCCTTATGACTCCCTTGAAGGATGCTGGGGTGAGCCTAGGGGTCCGGGACAACTAACAGCTAACGGGAGTCACTCATTTACTCCACAAATAGTTTTTGAGTGTCCACGATAAGTGAGATAACTTGAGAGAGTTGGGAGCCAATGCAAAGTGGAGGGTCCGGGCCCACCACCCTCTCGCTCCCCTTCCCGTAATCTCTCCTTTCCTTTTTACAGGGACTCCATGCCCTCCTACCCCTTCTGCTTTTGAGCCATCTTGGGGCAAGGGGTTAAAACAGTCCCGACGCTGTCCTGCCTCTACCCCTGCGCACTGCTGTGGGGGCCCACCTCCCTTCTGTGCCCCGGAGGGAAGCGGTTAACCGAGCGCCGCGGTCCCGCTGTGAAGCGGCGGCACTGCGGCTGCGCGCTGCCTGCTCAGCCCCGGCCTGGAAGAGGTTAAGGCGGCTGGCAGCCGCTGCGGCTGCGCACTGCGGCGGGGGAGCTGTCCGCGGTTCTGACCGCCGTGCGCCCCGCCCCCCGGCCCTGCCGGCCCACCCCCACTGCGGTGCCGCAGCCTACGCCGCGCGTCCGGCTCAGGGCTGGCGGGGGAGCACCGGGCATGCGCTCTGCGGCGGCCTCTGGCCTCTTAAACCACTGCGGAGAAGAGGGAGGCAGGGCAGAGGCCCAGCGCTGACCACTCACACCCCAAGGTCCACAGTCCTCTCTCGGGGGACTATGGCCCGCCTCTCTGCCCCTCAGATTAAGTCAAGCCTTCCCAAGCCCAGGCCTCATTCCTACCGCCCCCCTCCCGCGTGGAGGAAGGGGGCTGCTGAGAACAGTGTTGGCTCCCGGTCCTTCCCAAGGTCTGGGCCCTCTCTGTAGCCTGACCCTCGGTTCCCTTGATTAAAAGACAGGCTATTCAGACCCTCACTCTAGCCATCTAAATAAAGCCCTCTCTGCCCTGACACCCAGCTCCTTGACTTTCCAAGGCACTTACTCCCACTTTTTCCCTTCCTTCTACATATTTGACAAAGCTCATTATTTATCTCCAAGGGCCTGATCTGCCCTCCTAATTCTTGAGGATCTTGGCTGTGACCCCTCTCCTCAAAGCTTTCATCAACACCCACACCATGGTGACCAGGGCTCTGGTCCTTCCCCATCTGGAAATGACACTGGCACCCTCACCCCAGTTCTCTGCACCTCTGACTAAAACCCCCTTCCCTCTCTTTGCCGTTAGCTCTGCTCTCTCCCCCCACCCCGTGTCCAACGCCTGATCCTCCCACTCTCCAGAGCCTTGAACCCCCACCCCTCTTCATCTCTATCCCCTTCCCTTTTTGCAGACCTGATCCTTCACTCCCTTCCTCCATTATGGCCCTAACACCTGTCCCCTCTCTCTGGTTCCACCCCTGCCCTGGCCTCTCTGAGTGAGGGCCTCATCCAGACTTGTCCCTTTTCTGGGGCCAGGACATTGGCACCAACGTCCTTAAACCCTGGTCCCTCCCTGAGGCCTCAAACTCGCCCTGCACTAACTGATGACCCCATAAGAACTCAGACCTTACTGAGTTCCAGACACCGGGCTAAGAACTGTTTTTGGACCCAGGCCCTTGTATTCTCATCTAATATAATCTTCTGTAAAAAGTTGAGGTTCAGAAAGCTTAATGTCCTTGCCCAAGTTAGACTGGGAAAAATGATTCAAATCCAGACTTTCTTAACCACCATATGATTCTGCCCTCCCACCCATATTTTACTTTTCCCCTTCTATCAGTTTCCAGCCAAGCTGCAAAGCCTCTGAGACACAGAGGGTGTGTGATCTTTTTCTCCCTTCAACACTTCCCCATCCCCATCCCCCACCAGAAATCTTGGGCCCTGCTGGGAAGCCCTGAAATAGATCACAGGGTTTGGGGAGGTGGCCTAGGGGACAGAGCAGGGGGCCAGAAATTGCTCTTCCGTGAAAAAGTTGCCCATCTGCTGCCCCTTCCGGGACTGCCTCCTGTCCTGAGCTGGGGGGTGGGGAGCTCCTGCTGATCCTTCCCTCCCCTTTTGTGAGCTTTAGAGGAGAATGCAGGACGCAGGAGGTGATGGAGGCACGGAACCGAGTCACTTGGATTTCCCTGGAGTGTGGGGCTGGGAGGGGGCCACCAGAAGGGCCCTGCAGAGACAGTTAGTTGACCAGATGCCTGGGTCACCTTTTGTCCTCTCTCTCCTGCCTTGCCCCACAGTATGTGGCCTTCGCCTCCCTCTTCTTCATCCTCATCTCAATAACCACCTTCTGCCTGGAGACCCATGAGGGCTTCATCCACATCAGCAACAAGACGGTGACACAGGCCTCCCCGATCCCCGGGGCTCCTCCAGAGAACATCACCAACGTGGAGGTGGAGACGGAGCCCTTCCTGACGTATGTGGAGGGCGTGTGTGTGGTCTGGTTCACTTTTGAGTTCCTCATGCGCATCACCTTCTGCCCAGACAAGGTGGAATTTCTCAAGAGCAGCCTCAACATCATCGACTGTGTGGCCATCCTGCCCTTCTATCTTGAGGTGGGCCTCTCAGGCCTCAGCTCCAAGGCCGCCAAAGATGTGCTTGGCTTCCTGCGGGTGGTCCGCTTCGTCCGCATCCTGCGCATCTTCAAGCTCACGCGCCACTTTGTGGGGCTCCGTGTGCTGGGCCACACGCTCCGTGCCAGCACCAATGAGTTCCTGCTGCTCATCATCTTCCTGGCACTGGGTGTGCTCATCTTTGCCACCATGATCTACTATGCCGAGCGCATTGGCGCCGACCCCGATGACATCCTGGGCTCCAACCACACCTACTTCAAGAACATCCCCATCGGTTTCTGGTGGGCTGTGGTCACCATGACAACCCTGGGCTATGGAGACATGTACCCCAAGACGTGGTCGGGGATGCTGGTTGGGGCCCTGTGTGCCCTGGCGGGGGTGCTCACCATCGCCATGCCCGTGCCCGTCATTGTCAACAACTTCGGAATGTACTACTCGCTGGCCATGGCCAAACAGAAGCTGCCCAAGAAGAAGAACAAACACATCCCCCGGCCCCCGCAGCCTGGCTCGCCCAACTACTGCAAGCCTGACCCGCCCCCGCCACCCCCGCACCACCCTCACCACGGCAGCGGGGGCATCAGTCCGCCCCCGCCCATCACGCCGCCCTCCATGGGGGTGACTGTGGCTGGGGCGTACCCTCCGGGGCCCCACACGCACCCCGGGCTGCTCAGGGGGGGAGCGGGTGGGCTCGGGATCATGGGTCTGCCTCCTCTGCCAGCCCCTGGGGAGCCTTGCCCACTGGCTCAGGAGGAAGTGATTGAGATCAACAGGGCAGGTGAGAGGTCATTGCTGAGGTTCAGTACGATGGGGGTAGTCAACAACAGAGAGGGGGGAGGGAAAGCAAGCCAGTGAAGGAGCAACAGAGACAGACAGAGATTCTGAGGGAAAGAGACAGCTTTTGGGAGAGACATACTTGCAGCCAAGGTATGTGGAGGGCCAGGGAGGCAGAGTCATCAGTCTTATGGTGAGAGGGACTCAGGGAAAGAGGAAGCGGGGCTCAGAGAGAGACAGGGGGGCCCACGTGTGAATCACGGGCAGCCAGGGACAGTGGCCGCGTCTGAGCCCAGAGATGACCCTGACTAAAAGAGTCTAAAGGTGACAGTGTCTGAGACGGAGAGACTGTCACTGAGAACGGGGGAGACTGGGGAAGAGGCTGAGGCTGGGGTGGGGGTCAGTGACAGAGAGTCCAGGTTCCTTTAACAGTGGGAGCAAGAGAAGAGACTAAAGACCGCGCGTCAGCGAGAGAGGGCCTAGAGGGTAGAAGCCGCGTGACAGGAGAGCGGGAGGAGAGGGCGACTGGGGCCCCTGCCCCGGCTCTGGCTCTGCTAAGGGCAGTCCGAGGGGTCTGAGATGTCACCCAGAGGAAGAGGTGAAGCTCAGGAGACAGGGGAGAAGATAGCTGGCAGTGTGTGTGTGTCCTTCCCCCAAGGGGAGTCTGCGCCTCGCCTCGGAGGCAGTGGTTGGGGCGTCAGTCTGGGAGGAGGGAGAGGCCGGTGGGCCCCGCCCCCATGACTTAAGTAGGTCAAGAAAGGGAGCCGGGCCACTCGGCCCCCCTCTTGCTCCCTCAGCCGCTGACCCAATTTCACACCCATTAAAAATAGCTTGAGTCAGAACCTACGGGACCCCCACCTCCCCCTGCCCTCCTGTGTCACCTTCCCAATCCTTCCCCATGGTGCCCTTTCCAGCACCCAGCACCCCTCTTTAAACAGCCACCTCCCAGCCCCCTGCATCCCTCCAAACCTATCCTGACCCAACACCCTGCCACAGTCCTGCCTCTCTCTTCACTTCCGCCCTGCTCACTGCACTGCCCAGCCTCCTTCCCGGTGCCCAGCTCGCTTCCCCACAGCTGCCCCCAGCTGTCCCTCCAGACACCCAGCACTCCACCCGAGTCCTGCCCAGCACCCAACGCCTGGGCCGACAACCACTTCCTAGCACCCAACAAGCCTCCACCCAACACCGTCTCTGACCACCCTTCCCTTCCCCAGTTGTCCTTCCCAGCACTCAACACCCGCCCCAGCGACCCACTGCCCAAGCCCTCCAGCCGCACCCCTAATGCCTGCTCCCAGCCATCCTCTGACCCCTGCCCTTCCTTCATCTGTCACTTCCAGACTCCAGGACACAGCACTCTCACCTTGCTGACCGCGCCCCACCGTGAGTTCCCATGCCTCACTCTTAACTTTGTGTCTCTGACCCTTGCAATGCAGATCCGCGCCCCAATGGGGACCCAGCGGCAGCTGCGCTTGCCCATGAGGACTGCCCGGCCATCGACCAGCCAGCCATGTCCCCAGAAGACAAGAGCCCCATAACCCCCGGGAGCCGGGGCCGCTACAGCCGGGACCGAGCCTGCTTCCTCCTCACCGACTACGCCCCTTCCCCAGATGGCTCCATTCGGAAAGGTGAAGAGGCCTCCCCTGGCCCCCTGGGCTCTCCCTCTCCCTCCCCTGGGGAGGGAGGGAGAAGGAGGATGGGGAGGTGCTGGGCTTCCTGGCCCCAGCCCCATGTCCCCTCCCTCCCAGACCCCTGCCCATTCCCTTGCCAGTGACCCTTCGCCTGTCTTTATTCCATCTCCATTTCCCCTCACCCGGCCCTGGACCCTCTGGCCTCTTCCCTACCCCCAGCCACTGGTGCTCCCCCACTGCCCCCACAAGACTGGCGTAAGCCAGGCCCCCCAAGCTTCTTGCCCGACCTCAACGCCAACGCTGCGGCCTGGATATCCCCCTAGTGGACGAACCCCCTTCCCCGGGGTAAGTAGTCCCCCACCTGATTCCCCCTCCCTCCTGACTAACCCCTCTGAGAACCCCCACTGACCGAGACTCCTGCCCCCTCACTGTGAACAGCTTCATCCCCTGACACTGACCCCACACCCACCCACCCAGGACTTGTCTTGCCCTGCCCTGCCCCTCACTAACCGCCTAGAGCCAATCCAACCCCCCACCACCAGTGCCTGGCCTCCCCCACCCATGACTGACCCCATCCTCACCCCATTCACATCTCTCTCTCTCTGCCTCCCTACTTGGCTTCTTAATCAAGAAAATGGGGTGCACACCCAGGACACTCTTTTGGGATGAGAAAGATGCAAGCACTCAGCCAGGCCTGGGCGAACTGGCCAGCAGTTCAAAATGCCCCCATGTCCCCAGGAGCTCCTGGTTTGGTGGGAGAGGCAGACACACACTAGAAAGTCGCTCTTCTTGCATGACCTCTGCCAACACAGGGAGGTGATGGGCGATAGGCACCTGGGTGGAGGGAGAATGGGGCAGGTAGCAAAGAGGAGTGGCAAACTCCGGCCCAGGACGGAAGGGACGAGGGCTTCCTCAAGGAACTGATGTCTGGTCATCCTGACCTCCAGGGAGGAAGTGATCCTGGTAGACAGGTGACAGAGGGACCAGCACGGGCAAAGCCAGGTAGGCTGGAGACTGGTAGACAGACAGGGGCAGGATAACAAGGTGGAGAACCTTGTCCAGGGGCTCGGAGGAGGGCAGGGCAGGTCTCGGTCCTGTGGGGGTTCACTGGCGCAGGAGGCGGGAGGAGGCCTGGGCCTGGATCAAGGCTGTGGGGGTGGAAAGGAAGGGGGCAAGGCGGAGTCAGGGACCAGGAGGGGCAGGACTGGGACTGGCTGAAGGGAGGCGGATGCAGCGCAAGATGGTTAGATGAATCATTCAGCCAACATAACCAAGCACTCGCCCCGTGCCGGGAGTTTAATGTGTATCCCGTAATCCTCGTGACAACCCTCACTAACCATAGCTTCATTCAACAACCAGTCACTGGGGGCACAGCCCCAGGCCCTGGAATTGGGCAGCACACAAAGCGAGACCCTGCCCTTGGAGTTGACACTCTAGAGCATGGGTTGGCACGCCATAGCCTGTGGGCCAAATCTGTCAGCCAGCTGTTTTGTAAGTAAAGCCTTATTGGGATACAGGCACTGTCATGCTTCAGCACTGGAGTGGAATCGTTTCCTGGAGGCTGTGTGGCCCAGAGCCGAAAATATTTCCTCTCTGGCTCTTATAGAAAGTTTGCCACCCCCTGATCGGAGGAAGCCAAAAATAAAAAGTGGAAAGAGAAAAGAATGAACAAGATAATTACTTGGGTCACTTCAGATAGCGGGGTCTAGGAAGATCTTTTTGAGGGAGAGAGGAAATCTGAAAGGTGCAGAGGGCAGGCCGGGCAGAAGGACTGGCAGGAGCGGCACCCCAAAGCTCCGAGGCCGAGCGGAGTGCAGGGAGGGGACTGTGGCCGGAAGTGAGTGGGTGAGGGAGAAGGTGCCAGGAGGAGTCTGGGGACCAGCAGGAGGGGAGTTTGGCTATGGTGAGAGGCTGGGCTTGATCTGAAAGTGATGGGGAAGCCACCTGAAGGGATTTGATCCGTCACTTACTCATTCAACAGACATCTGTGGAATCTCCTTGTGGATATCTGGATGTACACAGAAATATAACCTAAAGAATCCCTACCTGCAGGCTCAGGAGATGCTGTAGCCAGACTTGGGGAGCCTCTAGAGATGGCGCACCCAGCCCACCTTCTTTCACAGACGTTACGGGAGGGCCGTGGCTAACTCCAGGCCCCAAAGGAGATGGGGCCAAGAACACAGGCCTCCCGGCTCCTAGTCCAGAGGGGACTCTCTGGCTCTCCCTGTTTCATCCCCTACCTCTCCCTGTTGCACCCGCCCTCATGTCACCCTCCATTTTCATCTCATTACCACCTCCCTGCTCCCCGAACCCCCACCCCTCTGCTTGCACCCACCCCTGTTAACCACCCTTTGTTCCCCACCCCTAGGTCCAGACGGGCCCCAGTGGAATTGAGGGACAGAGGGAGTGGGGAGGACTTGGGAATGTGGGCGAGGGATGAGTTGGGGTGGGGGGCAGGTCCCTGCTTCTCTTGCCTCTGATGCCAAAATGCCAAAATGCATTCATTGAACTCAAATGATGGCTGGAGCCGATGGGGCTGACTGGGTTCTCCACCCTGAGGTCCTGGACCCCTCCCCGCCTCCCGCCTCCCCGCCCCTCCCCCTTCCACCCTCCTCCCTGCCTCCCGGTCCTTCCTCCTCCACCCGCGCTCCCTTCAGGACTGTCCCGCCTTCTCCCAAGGCCTTCCCCCCTGGCCTGTCCCCCACCCACCCTATGACCCCTCCTCCATTTTCCCTCCCCAGCCACCCGAGTCCTACACCTGACTCCCTCCCCCTCCTCCCCAGCCGCCCCGGAAGCTCCTTCCATGTTTGATGTCTCTGGCCGCCCCATTTCACTGCTCCCCTCCCCCGGAAAACACCACAGAGGAGGAAGAGGTCCCGGCGTTTCTCCGTCCCCCCAACAGTGAGGCTGTGTTGGGGGGTTCCCCAACCACCCTTCCCCTGCCATGACTCTTGTGTATTTCTGTCCCCAGCTCTTGTCACCGCCTGAGACCTCGTGAGACCCTCGATCCCCCCCTGCCCCTTCCCCCCAGGTTAGCAATTGGGAAGGGCTGGGAGGGGGCATCCCCAAGATACTGGGCTTCCACCTCAACTCCTCCAGGCCCACTGCTCCGTCCAGCAGACCCTTGGCAATGCCTAGAAAGCCCCAGAACTACCCCCAGACACTGGCAGTAATGTCTCTAAGACATTCCCAAGCTTTCAAGAAACCACACACGTGCTCCTCCTCAGTCTTAGATCCCTTTGGCTACCAAGACACTGTTAGAACCTTCTCAGAAGGTTCCCATTTAAAGACTTCCTGACCCTTTCGAGATGCCCGGCAAGACCTTCAGGTGAGCCTTCCCTGAGCAGACAGCCCGTGGCGCTCTCCTCCGCCCCCGGGCAGCGCCCTGTGCCCCTTCAGCCCTCACAGCCCCACCACCTGCCTTTCCGCCTTTGTCCACAACGAGGTCAGCACCCCGCTGTGGCCGCCCGCCCCCACCCGAGCCCTCCCCACTGGCTGCTCCCCCACATGCATTCCACCTGAGCTCCCTCTCCGTTCCTGTGCTGCCCACCATCAGCCTCGCTGCCCCCCACCTTTTTGCCTCAGATGAGGGGGGCCAAGAGGGGGAGGGGGAGAGGGGCGGGCTGCGGTGGGGATGGGGGGGAGGCTCGCCGGGCGCTGCCCTGCCTCCTAACCCTGAGTCTCTCCCCCTCCCCATGTCTGAACCTTTCTCCCGATGCCAACTGACTGTCCGATTTGTTCACTTTTCTCTCCATCTCCTTGGTCCGCCTCTGTCCATCTCTGCCTCTCGCCGCCTGTCTTTCTGTGTCTTGATGTCTGACTGTCTCTTACCCTCCCCGTCACCGGCTCCATCTCCTGCCTTCTCTCCCGGGTCCCTCGTGCCTGTCCTCTCCCTCCATCCCTGTCTCCTGCCGTTTTATGTCTGTCCTCTTTCTCTATCTCCGATCTTTCTGCCTGTTTCTCCCTCGCCTCCGTCTGTCTTGGGGGTCTGTCTGTCGGACCCTCCCCTGCACCCTCTCTCCATGCTTCTTCCTCCCCGTGTCTCTGCCCCGCCCCTTCCCCACCCCCCCAGGTTACGAGAAATCCCGCAGCCTGAGCAGCATCGCGGGCCTGAGCGGGGTGTCCCTGCGCCTCGCGCCCCTTGCCACTCCTCCTGGCTCTCCCAGGGCCACCCGCCGCGCTCCCCCCACCCTGCCCTCCATCCTCTAGCACTCCCATCCCCCCCGTGGGGGGACTCGGGGGTGACAGGGAAGAAGGTCAAAGAGCTGGGGGTGGGGGGGTGGGGAAAGGGTTTTTTTAAAAAATCAAAAAGTCAATAATATGCAATTGAGACGACGACGCCAGCAGACACCCCCGGGCCCCAAATTCCCACCAGGGCCCCCAGGATGAAGGGGGAGGAGCCAAAGCCCATCCCCCAACTCTCCGATCCCCCCAAATAAAGCCTCAGGTCTCCATGAGCCATAGGACAACCCCTCCCATCAACTCCTGTAAATATGTCCAAATTATGCCAATTACATTTTTGGGGCATCTCCCGTACTCTGCATGCCTCCCCCATCCTGGACTCCCCTCCCCCACAATTCCACCTCAGCAATAAGCCGCCAGGGGCTGCATGCCACGCGACAGAGGGAAGGGGCCCTCTGGGGAGTGGGCGGGGCCTCAAGGGGGTCGGGTTGGCCTTTAAGCCACCGGAGGAGGGTCTCCTCGCCTCCTACCCTTCACCCCAGCAGGGCAAGCCATCACGATGAACATTTTTAGAAATTAGCAATGTTGGGGGGAGGAGGGGCAGTCACCGAAGCCAAAAACCAGAGCTGCACTCAGATGGTAGGAGCGAGGCATGGTAGAAGGGGAGGGAGGGGGTGGGCTGCAGACAGCTGCTCCCTCAGCCTTTAGGAGGACTCCTCTGATGAATTTCGCCCTTTCATCCCTCCCACCCTAAGCACCTGAACACCTATATTCTTGCTGCATGGACTCAGACCTCCCATCCCAGAACTCCTGGGATGATCTGGCCCTAGCGCACAGCATTCCCCGACACCGCCAGATTCCCAGGACATGAAACCTACGCCCAGAATTCCTGAGACTGACCCTAGCACCCTGCATCCCCCAGATCCCCACACACTCCGGGGACTTAACCTCTGCTCGCAGATGCTTCCCCTCAAGCCCCACCCATTGCCTGCACTGCATCCCAGCACCTATCTATCAAATCTCCAAGAACTGACCCAGCCCTTCAGCTCACTTTTGGCCTTTGGGATGCTCCAAATCCTTCCCACACTTGGATATTTCCTGGACACTCCCGGATCCCCAGGCCCTGCCCCCTAGACATCTGCAAATCTGACATCAGACGTCCACCTCAGGTTTCCCTGACACTAGAATTTTTAAGATAGGTTCAACCTGTCTGCAATTCCAGGGAACCAGATCTTCCCTGGGCACCCCCTTTCTTATGCCTAATCTTGACCCCGCCAGAGCCCCTTTCCTTAAATGGTGCCCAAAAGGTACCCTCTTCATGGACTCCAGTGTTTCCAAGAGGGGTCATATTTGTACCCCTGGTGATGAGCTTAGGTTTTAGGCACTTCAAGGACAAACGCTTATTTTAAGTTTCGTCTTTCATGGCATTTGACGCACAAGCCGGTAAGTCCAGATACTGCTGCTTGACTAGGACATGGTTTATTTAGGTTAGAAATGTTTCCATTTAAAGTAGAGGCTGTGCCGGAATGGAGGGACACTGGAATATCAGCAGCTTGGGGAACAACATACCCACCTGGACTGGGATCCCAGTCTGCCCTTCCCTGGCGCCCTTCATCATCCTGCCACGCTCACGGGTGGAAAGTCATTTCTCATAACCCATCCTGGCTCAAGGATGTGCTACCTCCCTCAAGCCCAGAGACCACACTGGTCCCAGAATCCTTAGAGCCCTCTCCCCCATTTTGGAGCTGGAGGCCCACCGAGTTAGCAACCTCCAGCCCTCCTGCTCACACGGCCTCAGGAACCCATCCCACCCGAGGGTTGGCGTGGAGGGCGGGGATCACTGAGGACGATTCTTGATGCAACGATTCCTATGCAAGGGACATTTTGAGTCCCCCCCACCCCCCATCCTTCCCTTGGACCCTAAACCCTGGTGAATCGGGGTGAGGGGTGGGCCGAATTCTGGTGGGAGCGGGGTGGGGTGGGGCAAAGGGCTAGGGGCTCCAGACACCAGGGTATGGGGGTGGGGAATGATTATCTTGCCAAAGGGTTTAACTTATTTAAAAGAAGCCCCCAGATTCCCCTTACCCTCACGGATGCCAAACGGTGCGGGCAAGTGGGTGAGGATCTCTTCCTAACGTCTCCCCCTTCTCGCCAATCTGCCACAATTAACCTAGCTTTTTAGTTGAGCTTTTTTAAAATAACCACAATGATGATAAACCTTTACAAAACGTGATTCTCGTCCCCTACCTCCCATCTCCCAAGCCAACAAACAGCGTGGGGTTCGGGGAAGGGGAGAGAGCGAGCCCAGGAACGACTTCCACGGCCCGCGCCCCCTTTCCCCTGGCCGCCAGGGTGCCTGCAACCACACGCATGCGCTGCATGACGCGCTCCCCACACGCATGTCGCGCCCCTTCTGCGCTCCGGGAACGCACGGACACGGGGCGGGGCGATTGGGGAGGAAGGGACGACGGGGTCTTCCCGAGCTCAGCGGCTACCCTCCCATCACACACAACAGCAATAAGTTTCTCTCACTCAAATGTGGGAGGGGCGGGCCTGGCCTGTCGTGGGTGGGGGTGGGGGCGGGAGTGGCAAAAGGGGGCGCTCTCAGGGATGGGGGCGGGTGTCCGGAGTCAGTACGGGGAGGGAGGTCTGCAAATCGTCCAACTCTGGTGCTAATGGCGGGTCTTCTCAGCCCACCCCACAGGGCAGGGAGGGAGGGGTCGGCACGGCCCCTCCCCCAAGCCTTTCCCATGCCCACCCTGGGTGCATGAATCGCCCAAAGCAGAAGCTGCCGCATGTCACCCTCTCCCAAAGAAAAAGTGCCCTGCCTCTTTCCCACCCACCTTATCACTTTCCACCAAAATAAAGGTTCCTTTTCATTTAAAGGTTGCGTCTTTTTTGTTGGGAAGGGCTCCTGATCCGGGTTAGAGGGCTTTGGGGTAGAAAGAGGGGTTGTATCTTCCAGAGCAGGGGTGCTTATTAAAATGGCAAGGGTGTGCACTTTGGGGATCCACACATCCCCTTGATGATTTTGGGTGGCAGGGGTGGGAGTGAGGGGCCTGGCTGCCTGCCTCAGTTTCCCTGATGGTGAAAGTGGGGATCCACACCCCTTACTGGGAAGTCTGTAAAGGCATCTGGGTAGTATGGACTCCTAGGTGAGGGTGACTAGTCCCTAGGAGAAGAATGAACCTGGGTCCCCAGTGCTGGCTCCGGGGCTGAGGGCTGCAGGCTCTATATTGCCTAGTCAAGCCAGGCTATGTGGGTTCAACAGAATGTGTGTGTGTCCTTGGTTAAGTTCCTCAATTGTCTTGTTTCCACCCCTCTAAAAGGGTGAGGGGGGTGATCTATTCATTCAGCAAATATATGAATGCCAGCTAGTGCCAGATACTATTCTAGGTGCTAGAAAACAATGAAATCTGTACCTCTAGGGGTTATGCCAAGGGCTGAGACAAACATCCCATATTTTGCACAATTAAACAAATAGTCGTTACACAACAGATGGCTCAATAGTCACTCCTTTCATTGTTCTGCAAAGACTTGGGGGTCAGCCAGGAGCAAGAGACATCGCAGCTCTGAATCGCAGTTTCCCCATTTGTAAAATGGAGGGGATACCTTGGAGGGAGGCCAGGTGAGGACGAAATGAGTTGTTTCACATGAAATACCCCATTCACAGGAGGCCCCAACACTGTACCTTGGAGGGAGGCCAGGTGAGGACGAAATGAGTTGTTTCACATGAAATACCCCATTCACAGGAGGCCCCAACACTGGCCGGCTGTGATTAGAACCAGCAGGCTCCATGCTCACCCTGCCCCATCAGAGATCCCCCTGCAGGAACACACACAGCCCCAAAGGGGTCCAGCTGGCGTTGGAATTTATTTCTGCCAGATGCTGGAGGCTGTGAGGGTATGGGGGCCTCCGCCAGCCCCCACCGGAAACTCCAACTGAACTGTGATCACACAAGAGCAACTAGAAGGGAGGCAGAGCATGGAAGTGGGTGTGGGGTGGGGATCAGATGGGTCTCCTTATCCTCCCCCTCTGCAAGGGTCAAAGGTTCATGGAGGCCTGGGGCTCAGGCTGTCACTCAGAAGTTTGGGGGTCAGTGGCCAAGTGGAGAGAAACAAGGAGAGGAAGGGGGAGATGGGAAGCGCTAGGGAGCCCTGGCTGAGGAGGGCAGGAGAGCTATGCTCCTTTTCTAATAAAGATCATTAACTTCAGGAAGTATGGGAAGCTGGATGGAACCACAGATTGACAACTACACTTGACTTTCCTCCCAAGCGAGAGCCCCAATCCTTGACTCCCTACTCTCCTGCTCCTCTGTGTTTAGGGGTTCACAGGCGGTCTCGAGGCCCGCCCCCTAACCAGGTGGGATTGATAAGTGCTGTAATGCCAGAAAGTGACACCATTTCCAAACTACAAGAAGCCAGGGAAGTGCGAGAGAGAGGCACCACCAGGGGTCAGGGAGGGAGGGGCCTGGTGACTGGTGGCTGGGTGGGGTCACTGTGGCTGGGCTGCGGGAGACCCATCAAGTTCCGTGGGCACTGGCCCAGACCCGGGCTCTGCCTCCTCAACCTCCTCCTCCGATGCTACGCCCTCCTCCAGTCGGAAGACCTGGCGCACTGTGCGGGTGGTGAAGGTGAGGGGGCCGCGCCTGTGCAAGGGAGAGACCCAGGGACAGAGATTAAATGAGGACAGCCGAAGAGACCAGGGAGACACAGAAAAAGAGGGAGTAAAATGGGGGGGACAGAGAGAGATCAGGATGGGGCTTCATGCAGGAAGGGTGTGCATGTATAGGGTGGCCATACCGAAGCCGGTTCCTCAGTACGTTCAACTCGCGATTCATGGACTCCGAGGCCTCTGTGACATCCTCCAGCTCATGCTGCAG